GGGGCGGGACATGGACAGCCACTGGGACATCCACCACACGCAGTGCGGGCGACGGCCCACCAGTCTTACACTCCGGCGCAATAACTACCTCCGGGACCACAGCAGGTAACAGACTGCACGTAGAAGGCATAGTAACCGCCTCAACAGGCAAAGCAGCAGACAAGCAATCAGGCGCCTCAGGCACAGCACCCATTCCATCCTCAGAAGCGTCCGAAGTCAACAGGGGTGAAAAGTTCTCCTCACGAAAAGCATGCACCCTGCCAGCTGCTCCCACGTCGCATGCTGCAGCGAGATGACCCACATTACCACACCTGTAACAGGTGCGCGGTTGCCCATGATACTGGCAACGAAGCGTATAACCCAACACGGACACAAAGGACGAAACACTACTCTTCAGAGACATGGTCAGGGTGCGGGAACCGTCAAGCATCCCAGTACAGTGCCCTGCAAGTACCTTGTCCTAACGAATGTTTAGCACAGTACCAAACCGTCCAAACACAGCAGTTAGCGACGTTAAACTCGAAGGGGGCACCACGCACCGACACATACGTCAAGGCGACGCTGAGATTCACTACCTTAACAGAACCGGCGGCATCAGGGAGAGGGTAAACACGCCCCTCACACCGCCCCAGAAACGCATGAAATGCAGCCTGATGGCGAAACTTGACCACGGCGCGGTTCCCCTGCAGCAGCTGGACGCCCACCAATTCCGAGAACTGCACATGGAGGTCATCCACCAGGGCAACACCAACCAACCAGTGGTCCACTGGCACCGTAAAAGCCAGACCAGCCGACGAGGTCCTCTTCAATGGAGGCCGGTAAGACCCCATGTCTCCTCAACAGGCGTACCACGCCCACCCAGAGGACAACACCCCCACAGCCGTCACAGACACTGTTACGGCCCTCTCGGGACGCAACGGGGTTCTTACTCTGATGTCGTTAGAGGAAGATATATATCCGACCCCAAGCCAGTAGAGGCTTTCAAGGGATGCGATCCGTGACGCAAGTAACTTAAAGGGAGTAGGGAAAGAAAGCTAAGAACTTAATATAATATAATGTTCACCTTCACCGTTTAATATATATAATAAAAGAGTACACAAGGGGGAGGGGTATTAACACTTTACAAAGGGGATCAACACTGTAGTCTTCTGCTGGAGACTATGGATCCTCGAAGCTAGGTGCCGAGTCCGCGGTGCTTTCTTCGTGGCCTCAAGACGTGTCCTCTGAGAACGCCGAGTCTACCCTGGCCACAGGTCAGCCACAACACAGGTCCACTGGTGGCACCGTCGTGGAGGCCGTCAACCACACGTCCAGCAGGTCTGCTGGCAGGTACTGCGCCACCAAGGCTGGTACGGCCACTCCACGAACGATATAAGGGGTACGCCCTAGACAGGAGTCTCGTGTGATATCACCAATCACCCTCCTGTCCTCAATACCCCAGTGGATTATCGTCTCCAACCGTCGGTCCCGGGTAAATCCGTTCACTGCCACTCCACTGGCAGGCTTAACACACCACAGTGTTCTTCCGGGGGGACGACGTCACAACAGCTGCAGCAAACTTCACTGGATGGAGACTGGCTGCCTCGGGTAGACTGACTCCACCTTCAACACAGTGGTCCCAGGTCGGCTCTGTAAGCAGACACGTCATTAATAACCGGGACACTAATACACCACACTCACAGGCTCAGATACAAACGCCCGACATATCCACTCCATAGATGGCGCTGTCTTCGGAGCACCACCTCACCAGAGGTCAGGAGCGGCGGTGTTGAGCGCTGAACCAGACTGGAAACTGGTCCTCGAGGCCAGTACACGCTGTCCTCACTAGGTGTCGTCGTTCGTTTGGCGGGGGTTTCGGGAGCTGACCCACAGATGGCGTGTTTGTCACTGCTCCAGGCTCGGACGCTGGATCCGGATTCGTAACAGACACCCTCCTCACACAGCCACTAGGGTAGAACTGGCGAGCGCCACGAACGACACGTCCACACCCAACAGCCGCCAACGAGTCTCGCATGCAAGTCACCTTGTGCTTTGGTTCCTTTGTATGTATCTCCAAGTTGCTTTACTCGTTCATGTTGTTTAACAAATACGGGGTTAAGGACACACTTGGGTGGTGGTAGGTGTTGTTTACTTCTGCTAGGCTTACGGCTTACAGGCTTACAGGGGCTTACGGCCCCTGTAAGCCTGTGGGGAACAGGCTTACGGCCTGTTCCCCAACACACCTATATGTCATAGTAGGTAGTAATCGTATCAACGAGATCTCTGGACAAGGCTTGTACATTCGTTATTGTGTAATCTTCATTCCATTTTGAAATACAATTAATAAAGTGGTCGTGCAAGCCATATGGAATATTCATTTTCCATCTCTGATGTCTATTAGGTACATCACACTGTACCTCATAGGAACTAAGTGATTTACCAACGAACATTTCATCCTATCTTGCACAAGGTTTCTACCTATTACATAATCAAATCTGCCTCCCAATAAATGAGTTTGGGTATCCGTAGTATACAGACTTAATCTATTGTCATAAACATATTTTATAAATTTGCATCCATTATCGTTGTTAGTAATGTCTCCCAGCGTAATATGTCTAGCGTTAAAATCTCCCATGATTGTCTAGATGTGGGAGCAATGTTACATTGAGTTTCTGGCTTCTGGCATATACGTTGAGGAATGAGAAGTGGCCTGCTGCAGTTTGTACATGAAAGTGATGGTACTGTATGTGTACATACTGTGACGTGCTCACAAGAGTGTGTGGTAAATCACCTCTGATGTATGTTAATAGGCCTGTGGCGTTGCTGTTAGTATAGGACGCATACCCTCTGATCTTCGGTAGGGGTTTTGTTTATCATGTTGGACGTGTAAGGCTCCTGTATAGCAATTATATCTATGTTGTTACTGGTAACATATGAAAATAGATCATTCAGTCTTTTGTTGATAGTACGAATGTTCCAACTGAGAAACCTAATGGTCTGGCGCCATGGTTGAGTACAGTGTATGGTGCCACTGTTAAGTATAGTGTATGGCGCCACGGTTGAGTATAGTGTATGGTGCCACTGTTGAGTATAGTGTATGGCGCCACGGTTGAGTATAGTGTATGGCTTCACGGTTGAGTATAGCGTATGGTGCCACGGTTGAGTATAGTGTATGGCTCCACTGTTGAGTATAGTGTATGGTGCCAAGGTTGAGTATAGCGTATGGTGCCACGGTTGAGTATAGTGTATGGCGCCACATTTGAGTATAGTGTATGACGCCACTGTTGAGTATAGTGTATGGTGCCACTGTCGAGTATAGTGTATGGTGCCACTGTTGAGTATGTTGAGTATAGTGTATGGCTCCACTGTTGAGTATAGTGTATGGTGCCAAGGTTGAGTATAGTGTATGGCTCCACGGTTGAGTATAGTGTATGGCGCCACGGCTGAGTATAGTGTATGGCGCCACATTTGAGTATAGTGTATGACGCCACTGTTGAGTATAGTGTATGGCTCCACTGTTGAGTATAGTGTATGGTGCCACGGTTGAGTATAGTGTATGGCTCCACGGTTGAGTATAGTGTATGACGCCACTGTTGAGTATAGTGTATGACACCACGGTTGAGTATAGTGTATGGCTCCACTGTTGAGTATAGTGTATGACACCACGGTTGAGTATAGTGTATGGTGCCACGGTTGAGTATAGTGTATGGCTCCACGGTTGAGTATAGTGTATGACGCCACTGTTGAGTATAGTGTATGGCTCCACGGTTGAGTATAGTGTATGACGCCACTGTTGAGTATAGTGTATGACACCACGGTTGAGTATAGTGTATGGCGCCACTCTTGAGTATAGTGTATGGCTCCACGGTTGAGTATAGTGTATGGCGCCACGGTTGAGTATAGTGTATGGCGCCACTGTTGAGTATAGTGTATGGCGCCACGGTTGAGTATAGTGTATGGCGCCACTGTTGAGTATAGTGTATGGCGCCACGGTTGAGTATAGTGTATGGCGCCACGGTTGAGTATAGTGTATGGTGCCACTGTTGAGTATAGTGTATGGCGCCACTGTTGAGTATAGTGTATGGCGCCACGGTTGAGTATAGTGTATGGCGCCACGGTTGAGTATAGTGTATGGTGCCACTGTTGAGTATAGTGTATGGCGCCACTGTTGAGTATAGTGTATGGCGCCACGGTTGAGTATAGTGTATGGCGCCACTGTTGAGTATAGTGTATGGCGCCACGGTTGAGTATAGTGTATGGCGCCACTCTTGAGTATAGTGTATGGCGCCACGGTTGAGTATAGTGTATGGCGCCACGGTTGAGTATAGTGTATGGCGCCACGGTTGAGTATAGTGTATGGTGCCACTGTTGAGTATAGTGTATGGCGCCACTGTTGAGTATAGTGTATGGCGCCACTCTTGAGTATAGTGTATGGCGCCACGGTTGAGTATAGTGTATGGCTCCACTGTTGAGTATAGTGTATGGCTCCACTGTTGAGTATAGTGTATGGCGCCACGGTTGAGTATAGTGTATGGTGCCACTGTTGAGTATAGTGTATGGCTCCACTGTTGAGTATAGTGTATGGCGCCACGGTTGAGTATAGTGTATGGTGCCACTGTTGAGTATAGTGTATGGTGCCACGGTTGAGTACAGTGTATGGTGCCACGTTGAGTATAGTGTATGGCGCCACGGTTGAGTATAGTGTAAGGCACCAAGGTTGAGTATAGTGTATGGTGCCACGGTTGAGTACAGTGTATGGTGCCACGGTTGAGTACAGTGTATGGTGCCACGGTTGAGTACAATGTATGGTGCCACGGTTGAGTATAGTGTAAGGCAGCAAGGTTGTGTATGGTGCCACGATTGAGTATAATGTATGGTGCCACGGTTGAGTATAGTGTATGGTGCCACGGTTGAGTATAGTGTATGGCGCCACTGTTGAGTATAGTGTATGGTGCCACTGTTGAGTATAGTGTATGGCGCCACTGTTGAGTATAGTGTATGGTGCCACGGTTGAGTATAACATGTGGTGCCGACCATCTACAGATGAACAAGTTACCCCGCGAACAATGGCTGCAGTGTTGGCTGCTGTGTTGTCAACAGAGAAACATCTTCGCTGCTCAGTTTTCTTCATCACAGACGCCGCCTCCAGCGACCCATCTCCTGTAAGTTTACCGAACAAGTAACAAGAAACTTTATGAGCCCTACATAACATTCTTAAAACAATGAACAGTATGTAAATATGAACCGAATGTTCTTAATGTTCGAGTTTTAATTCTTTACAGATATTAGAGGTGTTTAGGATGGCAGGAGGCGTGGCAACCTTCCAGACGACACCACACACCTCAGAGAGTAACGCCACACGCTGGCAGGTCCCTCAGATGCTCTCTCAGGCTCGGAAGGTCAGTCGTGTTCCTATAATGGTTTACTTCACTACTGAGTTTATCTTGTCAAAGTTGACGGGAGACGTCTCTCTCCTTAATGATTCAGGGAATGGTCACTCTCACGTCACTACTGAGGCGGGTAGGTCACTCTCACGTCACTACTGAGGCGGGTAGGTCACTCCCACGTCACTACTGAGGCGGGTAGGTCACTTTCACGTCACTACTGAGGCGGGTAGGTCACTCACGTCACTACTGAGGCGGGTGGGTCACTCTCACGTCACTACTGAGGCGGGTAGGTCACTCTCACGTCACTACTGAGGCGGGTAGGTCACTTTCACGTCACTACTGAGGCGGGTAGGTCACTCTCACGTCACTACCGACGTGGGTAGGTCACTCCCACGTCACTACCGACGTGGGTAGGTCACTCCCACGTCACTACCGACATGGGTAGGTCACTACCGACGTGGGTAGGTCACTACCGACGTGGGTACGTCGCTCTCACGTCACTACCGACGTGGGTAGGTCACTCTCACGTCACTACCGATGTGGGTAGGTCACTTTCACGTCACTACTGAGGCGGGTAGGTCCCTCTCACGTCACTACCGACGTGGGTAGGTCACTCTCAAGTCACTACCGATGTGGGTAGGTCAATCTCACGTCACTACTGAGGCGGGTAGGTCCCTCTCACGTCACTACCGATGTGGGTAGGTCACTCTCACGTCACTACTGAGGCGGGTAGGTCACTCTCACGTCACTACCGATGTAAGTAGGTCACTCACGTCACTACTAAGGCGGGTAGGTCACTCTCACGTCACTACCGATGTGGGTAGGTCACTCTCACGTCACTACTGCGAGGGATACGTCACTCCCACGTCAATACTGTAAGAGGTGGGTCACTTTCACGTCACTACTGCGAGGAGTGGGTCACTCTCTCGTCACTACTGCGAGTACTTGGTTACTATCCCGTCGCTTCTGCAAGGGGTTGGTCACTCTCTCGTCACTACTGCGAGTGGTTGGTCACTCTCCCGTCACTACTGCGAGGGGTGGGTCACTCTCCCGTCACTACTGCGAGTGGTTGGTCATTCCCTCGTCACTACTGCGAGTACTTGGTTACTCTCCCGTCGCTACTGCGAGGGGTTGGTCACTCTCGTCAATCGTGCGAGGGGTGGGTCACTCTCGTCACTACTGTGAGGTGTGGGTCACTCTCCCGTCACTATTCGAGGGGGTGGGTCCACTCTCCGGTCGCTAATGCGAGGAGTTGGTCATTTTCCCGTCACTCATACAAGGGCGGGTCACTCTCCCGTCACTACTGCGAGGGATGGGTCACTCTCACATCACTACTGCGAGGGGTGGGTCACTCTCACGTCACTACTGCGAGGGATGGGTCACTCACGTCACTACTTCGAGGGGTGGGTCACTCTCCCGTCACTACTGCGAGGGGTAGGTCACTCACGTCACTACTGCGAAGGGTGGGTCACTCTCACGTCACTACTGCGAGGGATGGGTCACTCTCCCGTCACCACTGCGAAGGGTGGGCCTCTCTCCCGTCACTAATGCGAGGTGTGGGTCACTCTCCCGTCACTACTGCGAAGGATGGGTCACTCTCCCGTCACTACTGCGAGGGGTGGGTCACTCTCCCATCATTACTGCGAGGGGTGGGGTCACTCACGTCACTACTGCGAATGGTGGGTCACTCTCCCGTCACTACTGCGAGGGGTGGGTCACTCTCCCGTCACTACTGCGAGGGGTGGGTCACTCTCCCGTCACTACTGCGAAGGGTTGGTCACTCTCCCGTCACTACTGCGAGGGGTGGGTTACTCTCAAATCACTACTGCGAGGGGTGGGTCACTCACGTCACTACTGCGAGGGGTGGATCACTCTCCCGTCACTACTGCGAGGGGTGGGTTACTCTCGTCACTACTGCGAGGGGTCACTCTCCCGTCACTACTGCGAGGGGTCACTCTCCCGTCACTACTGCGAGGGGTCACTCTCCCGTCACTACTGCGAGGAGTGGGTCACTCTCGTCACTACTGCGAGGGGTGGGTCACTCTCCCGTCACTACTGCGAGGGGTCACTCTCCCGTCACTACTGCGAGGGGTCACTCTCCCGTCACTACTGCGAGGAGTGGGTCACTCTCGTCACTACTGCCAGGGGTGGGTCACTCTCCCGTCACTACTGCGAGGGATGGGTCACTCCCACGTCGCTACTGTGGGGGTGGGTCACTCTACCGTCACTACTGCGAGGGGTGTCACACTCTCGACACTACTGTGAGGGGTTGGTCACTCTCCCGTCACTACAGTGAGGGGTGGGTCACTCTCTCGTCTATACTGCGAGGAATGGGTCAATCTACCGTCACTACTGCGTGGTGTGGGTCACTCTCACGTCACTATAGTGAGGTGTGGGTCACTCTCACGTCACTTCAGTGAGGTGTGGGTCACTCTCACGTCACTACTGCGAGGTGTGGGTCACTCTCACGTCACTACAGTGAGGTGTGGGTCACTCTCACGTCACTACAGTGAGGTGTGGGTCACTCTCACGTCACCACTGCGAGGGGTGGGTCACTCTCTCGTCACTACTGCGAGAGGTGGGTCACTCTCCCGTCACTAATGAGAGAGGTGGGTTACTCCTGTCACTACTGCGAGGTGTGGGTCACTCTCACGTCACTACTGCGAGGGGTGGGTCACTCTCTCGTCACTACTGCGAGAGGTGGGTCACTCTCTCGTCACTACTGCGAGGGATGGGTCATTCTCACGTCACTGCTGCGAGGGGTGGGTCACTCTCACGTCACTACTGCGAGGGGTAGGTCACTCTCCCGTCACTACTGCGAGGGGGTGGGTCACTCACGTCACTACTGCCTGGGGTGGGTCACTCTCACGTCACTACTGACATGGGTGGGTCACTTTCGTCACTACTGCGAGGGATGGGTCACTCTCACCTCACTACTGCCAGGGGTGGGTCACTCTCCCGTCACTACTGACATGGGTGGGTCACTTTCGTCACTACTGCGAGGGGTGGGTCACTCTATCGTCACAACTGCAAGGGGTGGGTCACTCTCCCGCTACTACTGCGAGGGGTGGATCACTCTCCTGTCACAACTGCGAGGGGTGGGTGACCCACCCGTCACAACTGCGAGGGTGGGTCACTCCCACGTCACTACTGCGAAGGATGGGTCACTCACGTCGCTACAGCGAAGGGTAGGTCACTCTCCCGTCACAACTGTGAGAAGTGGGTCACTCTCCTGTCACTACTGCGAGTGGTGGGTCACTCTCACGTCGCTACTGCGAGGGGAGGGTCACTGTCTCGTCACTACTGCGAGGGGTGGGTCACTCTCACGTCACTGCTGCGAGGGGTGGGTCACTCTCACGTCGCTACTGCGAGTGGTCGGTCACTGTCTCGTCAGTTCTGCGAGGGGTGGGTCACTCTCTCGTCACTACTGCGAAGGGTGGGTCATTATTTTGTGAATACTGCGAGGATTGAGTCACTCTCACGTCACTACTGCGAGGGTTGGGTCACTCTTTCTTCACTACTGAGAGGGGTGGGTCACTCTCCCATCACTACTGCAAGTGGTTGGTCACTCCCTCCTCACTACTGCGAGTACTTGGTTACTCTCCCGTCACTACTTGGTTGATACCTGGTTGATGGGTTTCTGGGAGTTCTTCTACTCCCCAAGCCCGGCCCGAGGCCAGGCTTGACTTGCGAGAGTTTGGTCCACTAGGCTAGGCTGTTGCTTGGAGCGGCCCGCAGGCCCACATACCCACCACAGCCCGGTTGGTCCGGCACTCCTTGGAGGAATAAATCTAGTTTCCTCTTGAAAATGTCCACGGTTGTTCCAGCAATATTTCTTATGCTTGCTGGGAGGACGTTGAACAACCGCGGACCTCTGATGTTTATACAGTGTTCTCTGATTGTGCCTATGGCACCTCTGCTCTTCACTGGTTCTATTCTACATTTTCTTCCATATCGTTCACTCCAGTACGTTGTTATTTTACTGTGTAGATTTGGTACTTGGCCCTCCAGTATCTTCCAGGTGTATATTATTTGATATCTCTCTCGTCTTCTTTCTAGTGAGTACATTTGGAGGGCTTTGAGACGATCCCAATAATTTAGGTGCTTTATTGCGTCTATGCGTGCCGTATATGTTCTCTGTATTCCCTCTATTTCAGCAATCTCTCCTGCTCTGAAGGGGGAAGTGAGTACTGAGCAGTACTCAAGACGGGACAACACAAGTGACTTGAAGAGTACAACCATTGTGATGGGATCCCTGGATTTGAAAGTTCTCGTAATCCATCCTATCATTTTTCTGGCTGTCGCAATATTTGCTTGGTTATGCTCCTTAAACGTTAGGTCGTCAGACATTATTATTCCCAAATCCTTTACATGTTGTTTTCCTACTATGGGTACATTTGATTGTGTTTTGTACTCTGTATTATGTTTAAGGTCCTCATTTTTACCGTACCTGAGTACCTGGAATTTATCACTGTTAAACATCATGTTATTTTCTGATGCCCAGTCGAAAACTTTATTAATATCAGCTTGAAGTTTTTCAATGTCCTCAGCCGAGGTAATTTTCATACTGATTTTTGTGTCATCTGCAAAGGATGATACGAAGCTGTGACTTGTATTTTTGTCTATATCTGATAAGAGAATAAGGAAAAGCAGCGGTGCAAGGACTGTACCCTGAGGTACAGAGCTTTTAACTGCACTTGGACTAGATTTTATATGGTTGACCGTTACTCGCTGAGTCCTGTTTGACAGAAAACTGAGTATCCAGCGTCCTACTTTACCGGTTATTCCCATTGACTTCATTTTGTGTGCTATCACGCCATGGTCACATTTATCGAAAGCCTTTGCGAAGTCCGTGTATATCACATCAGCATTCTGTTTTTCTTCTAATGAATCAGTGACTTTGTCGTAGTGCTGAAGTAGCTGTGAGAGGCACGATCTTCCCGCTCGAAATCCATGTTGGCCTGGGTTGTGAAGGTCATTGGTCTCCATGAAATTGGTGACCTGACTCCTAA